CCCCGTACCGGCGCCGTAACCTTGTTAATCAGGCGTCTACATGCGGGTTTGAAGGTTGAATTTGGGGCTTGGGGCATTTGCTCTCGGGTGTAGGGTTTAACGGGTGTAGGGCTGCACCCAACACTCCAAACCGGGTTCAGGGTCCTACGGTTGTAGGAGGTGCAAGATGGTGGCTCTCGTGGACGCTTTTTGGATCCTCACAAGGTGGGCTTTGTAGATTTTTGTAGGGTAGGAGCATGCCCCAAACAGCGCTGTTGCAGGCATCGGCCTGCGTAGCAGGCTCAGTGCTTGAGCTGCCGATGACACTGCCTGCCACCGTTTGCAGTTTCGTGCTCGGGGTGTAGGGGTCATGATCTAGGTTTTCGGCATCAGGGTTTAGAGCGGTTTCGGTTCGGAGCTGGATGCCAGGGTCAGCATACTGCAGAAGCCTCTTGCCCAGAGGTTGCGATGCAAGTCCGAATTCTAAGAGAAACAAAACTTCGACGGCATGCTGATGGGAACGGCCTCCAATGAGGGACCCCCAATACTAAGCACCCCCCAAATACATGCAGGAATGCCTCACGAGCTTCTCGACGGATGGCGTACACGCGGGCAATCAGGTGAAGCGCCTGTCACCCAGAGTCTCTCACAATCGCCATAAGCATTCGCCACAACCGCGATCATAAGCAAGCTAGATATCATCGGAGCAACAACAAAAAGAAGCAGGAGACAACAAAACACTCACGATAAGAGTAGCAGTGACTGGTGCGAACAGTCAGCATCATCAACATCATCACCAACTCAACTAGTCATCATAGGCTCAAGGCTGATACTAGTACTAAAGCTAACGAATGCAATCGAAAAATAAAGCACACCTATGGTTTCAACAGTCCAAACCCCGTCCACATTACAAATATCATCCCTAGCATCATCTTCCCGCCATCATCACCGTTATCGGCAGTCGTGGCTTTAGTCTGCTTTGTTTTAGTAGCCCTGTTAGTGGTAATAACAGCTACTGGCTCCTCTGATGATGCTGTTGATGATGTTCTAGCAACATCCAGCATTAAAAGCAGCAGCAGCTTTAGCAGCTGTAGCACCTACAGTCGCAGTTGTAGTCGTCGTAGCCGTCGTAGCCGTCGTACTAGCAGCGGCAGCAGAGGCAGCAGCAGCAGCAGCAGCAGCAGCAGCAGCAGCCCGTCGTCGTAATAGCAGTATACTGGTAGCACTTAGCCCTTGCCTAAAGGTCCAAAAACAAAAGAAGGCGCAAGCAAATCTGTGAGAGCCGGCCTCTGCTTCCTCCCGCGCCAGACGCGCCCGGGAGAGCACGGCCACCGCTTGGCGCGCTGCCTTTCTCTCGGAGGCTCTTCTCCGTTTGCTTCGGGCATTACGGCCTAGGGTTTAAGAGAATAGACGGCTTATACAACATGTGTGTTATCGAGAGGGAAGATTTACCGATAGTTTGCCAAGTTCAGGGTTCAAGGTTTAGGGTCAAGGGCTCCGAAGAAAGGGTGTGTCATTCTCTCTCTACGATCCCGAAAGCCTCAAACCCTCAAGCCGAACTAGCACAATCTGGGCCAATGGTCCCTGGGGGTGAATGCTCTGAGGCTTGGCTGGCTTGGCTTTCCGAACATTCTGAGGCTGCTTGTGACTTGTGACGTTCGGGTTTAAGGCTCAGGGGTTCAACAAAGCGAGGGGTTCTGTGAGTTCAGATACTCACAGGTCATGAGGCTCAAACAGGGTTTGGCCATTAACTCCAGAAATCCGGCATCAACGTCGAAACCCTCGTGCCAGGATGCTAAATCCATGCACCGGTGTGGGTAGGAAGAGCCGTCCACAATGCTACGGGCACGAAACCCTCAACCCTAAACCCTAAACCCCAAAGATCCCTAAAAAAACCCAACCTGACTCAGGATCGGGAGTGGCGTCCTGCAGTGCCGAAGCGTTGTCACCTTGCTGCACGCAGACCTCTGCAGCATCTTCGGCAGGCTAGTTTATTTCCAGGTTTGGGGTTTGAGGTTCCATGGCTGAGGCCTGACCAGGTATTGAGTTTAGGCTTCTTCTCAAGGGTCGGCGCAGGTTCAGCTGGCTAGATTTTGCGATCTATGCGGTATGCCCCCAGGTTCGGGGAAGTTGAGGCCTCGAGTCCTTCCTTACTGCCTGACTGCCGAGTACAGCACAAGATGTCTACTTCGGCCTTTTCATGAATCCGAAAACCTGTGCAAGGCTTTACACCCCTGTCTAAACCAGCACGAATCCCCTTACGAGCATCATGAACCACTAAACACGCGCTTTGACCCCTATCTCCTGTGAACCCTTGTAGTTTACACCTTTAATTACAGACCCCTATGAACCGTTTTGAACCAAAACCTTGTAGAAAAAAATCTTCCTGCCGCTGTCCTTGGCGCAGGCGCTCAGGGCTGCCGCTTCGCCCTTCCTCGCGTCGCAAGGTAGCGCCGGAAGTGGTGCAGGGTGTTCGTACAAGGGTGTTTAGAAAGGTTTAGTGGGCAAGACGAGGTTTTATAAGGCTTTCATCGGGCTTTGAGGTTTCAGAGGGGCTTTGGGAAGTTTAGCATATTTGGTGGGCTAACCCTCCATGATAGTTTATCGGATTCCCGGGTCTCAAAAAGTACTTCCATAAACCCCCCACATCCTAGTGCAATTCTTAAGGCGCCTGGAGAAGAACCCCTATGAAACCCTGTACAGCCTTACAGCACCCTTTCAAGAACTCCATTTTCATCGAAAAAGTCTAAAAAGCCCCACAATAAAACAAAAAACTGCCAACACAACACCTCATTCGATATCTTGCGGCCCCCCAAAACTACTTAGACCCTTAGAGCCTTGGAGCAACGCTTGAAGGAACCCTAAACCCAAATGGTTCAGGCCCCTTACACTGAACCCTTGCAGTAACCCTTGAAGGACCCCTAAACCCAATCTCCTAACCTCCGAACTAGACGAACCTTGAAACGAGCCCTTGTTGGAACCCTACAACCACATTACCCTCATATCTCCTGTCTCCAAAGGCACGGTACAACTTCGCAGCGTCCTCGGCCATGGCCACCGCCTTCGCAGGGACTCTGAGGCAACCCAATGAAGACCCCAAATCGCAGGGGCCGGGCTAGTTTAGGGGTTTAGGGGCTTAGGGTGTAGGGTGTCGGGCTTTCTTTATTCTTGTTGAGGTTTACGGTGCAGGGTGTAGGGTTGTCCTTTTTGGGATTTAGGGTCTAGGGTTTTCTTATTCGGAGGTTTGGGGTGTAGGGTGTCGGGTGTAGGATTTCTTGTTTTGGAAGTAAGTTTTTTTGTTGAGCTTCTTTTTCCGCATAAGGTCACCAACCGTCGACGAAAGACTACATGGGTCAGGAGAATGTAGCCCTCTTACGCACCTCTGCTTGCAGGGAGGAAAAACGAAGTAAAAGCCAGACCCAAGCCATCACAGGGTGAGCCATGCAAACATGGCGCGGAAGGTTCTCAACGCCACGATATCTCGAAGAGCCACCCCATAAAGAACTCACACCTGTCGCGCACTTCCATGAGTCTGCAGGTCACCCATGTTAGACGACCAAAGAAAACCTTCAGCTTACTCACTCGCAGCTCAGTCAACGCTCTCAATCGTGATACGCAAAGTCTCGACCATCAGTTGCTCACCGAATCTCCACGGCTGCCTTTTGCAATGGGCACCCACCAGTGGTGATGCCTGTTTGGCCAGTCGTCAAGACAATAGCGGTGTTTGGAACAGTCATGCCGCCATCCGGTGCTGAAACCGTGTCCGTGCCCTGAGGGTCCGTACCACTGCCTCCAGCAAGCACCAGTCCAGTTCCAAGTGCGACTCTCCTTAGAAGGGCTTCGTCCATACCAGGGATTGCCAATCTGGGCAGACGTGAGGCAGCGAGTGTCACTCAAGCTTGCCTCGGCATGAGTACTGCCATCCTCACAAGCATCTTCATCACTATTGTTGCCTAGAACACTGCTCATCTGTGTTGGTTCCTCCAAACCACAAAGCACGTTGAGCTTCGAACCCCTCATGCTTGGCCTGCCCTGGCTCGTCGCCTTCTTCGTTTCTGTTTGCCATTTCCACACGCAGGAGTCACAGTCACCATCGTTGCAGACGCGGTTTCTGATCCATACCTCTCGGCCAACTGCTGAAGCTCGTTCTGGGCAGTTCCATTTGCAGAAGTCCCAGTGGGTGCAGTTGCTGTCTCTGTCTTATGTCGCTCGTCCATCAGTTGTTGTAGCTTGGCTTCCAAATAACAGCATCGGTCCGACAGCTGCTGCACGCGAATATTCTGCGCCGCTACTTTTGTCCCCCAGCTGCGCGAAATGCTGCATCCATGCCGCTTGCAACTTCCCCAGGCTCTGCTCGCTCGAGGTGCGAATAAGGTCAGCTTGCTCGCCCAGCAAAGCACGGAGCACATTCAAATCCCAAGTCCAGCCCCGGCGGCGACTCATAATCCGGTTCCATCCGTTAGGCGACACGGGGAGGCTGATAACTTGAGCCTTGAGCCAAAATGGCTACAGTTCAGGGTTTGGCATCGTACCTGGTCTATCCTGGTCTGCTATAGATGCCAAGGTGAGACGACAAACTCCAACCTTCCCCCGCGGCCTACCTTGGGAGGGTCGCTCAAGGCCATGAGGGTCGGGACGCCGACTTCCAGGAGCACCGCTGCTTCTTCGATCCTAGCTGGTTCACGGACAGGTACAACGATTCCTGGTATTACAAGGGTAGCACAACAAGGGTGGTACACAGTTTACCGGTTACCCTCAGAGGTCACCATGCCAAAGGTTGCTGCAATGCTACAAAGTCACCCTAACGATAAGGCCGCCCTAAGAAGGTTACCATAATAAGGTTGCTTTATCAAAGCTTGCTCTTGTTTGCGGTTTCTATGGCAAAATGGCGTTATAGCTATACCTCTAATAAAGCTTCTGTCTGTAAGGTTACTCTTTTTCCGATTACTCTTTTCGAAGGTTCCCATACCACTAAGGCTACCACAATACTAAGGTCACCCTAATGACAAGGCTACCATAATCAGGATACCATAAGAACAAAAATGATCCTAATCAGAACACTATATCAGTAATAACAGTAACTATATATATATATGCGAGGAATAAAAGAAATACTCCAAAGAATAAGAAGGTTGTCCTGGGTTAGGGGTACTCCCGGGGCCGCTGCTGGAGCTGCCCGAGCTTCTGGAAGAGCAACCGTGCCTCGCCGACCTGGGGAAGCTGGCGAGGCGTGGGTGTCGAGGTGGAGGGGCTTAGGGGCTTAGGGGGCTTAGGGGGCTTATGGGGCTTATGGGGCTTAGGGGCTTAGGGGCTTAGGGGCAAGCAGTGAGCAGAGGGGGATTTGGGGAGTTTTAGGAAGTTCAGGGTTTAGAGGGTTTAGGGGTTAGGGTATCGGCCGGCCACCTCTGACAAAGCGTCCTTCAGCAAGCCCAGGGCCAAGTGCACCTGGAGCCCCAAGAACAGTCAGGCGCAGAAGGGAAGGCTGCATGAAGTTGGCACTGGTCCTTGGCCAGCTCGCAAGTGGCTTCTGCCTTGCACATAGGTCGAAAGGCTGACTGGCCATGATCACTGCTACAGGAATGTATCAAAGTTGACCGCTGGATGTACATAGGATGCGTGTGCATATGACTGTCTGACGAACAATATGCCATCTATCTATGTGAGCGGCTGTTCTTCGATCTACAGATCGATAGGTCCAAACTTTCAGTCAATACATATATAGACAGCTAGATAGACAAGCAGGCAGACAGATAGAAAGATTGATCGTTCGATAAATGTGCATCTACATGCATACATGTATGTCCATACGCCTGATGAATGTACATGATATTGATGTTGATATATATATATATATATATTTATATTTATATTTATATTTATTTATTTATATATGTATATATATATGTATGTATATATGTATGTATGTATGTATGTATGTATGTATGTATGTATGTATGTAGATATGGATATAGATATAGATATAGATATAGATATAGATATAGATATAGATATAGATATAGGTATAGATATTGATATATATATATATAGATAGATAGATAGATAGATAGATAGATAGATAGTAATATACACATGTGAACGGCTTTTGTTGACCCGCAACCGAATGCCGGCCGAGACTGGCCTGGCCCCGGGTGTCCTTTCGCCGCTGGTACAAAGAAACCTGGGCTCTTCTTCTGAGCTTAAGCGAAGGAAGGCTACCAGAGCTTCAGCTTAGGCTACCATAATGGAGAACAGTTTAGGGTTTAAGGTTTAGGGTTTTGGGGTTTTGGGGTTTAGGGTTTAGGGTTTCAGGGTTTAGGGTTGAGGGTTACTTAAGCTACCATAATTGAGCTCTACAGTAAACAAATAAGGTTCATTTCAGCTACCATAATAGGGTTTAGGCGGTTTAGGGTTTAGGATCTTTTGCTACGGAACTTATTTCAGGGTTCCTATAAGGGTTGCATTTCCATAATAGGCATCTTTTGTCATAATTTGGTTTCCTTGCTATGGCAGCTTCACATAATTTCCTCAACAAGAGCCCAGAAACGACGTCCACGGCGGCCTTAACGCTCTCGGCCACACGGCCCCTGGCAGTTTTGGGGGTAGGATTTGGGGTTTAGGGCCAAGGGGTTCTGCTAGTGTTTAGGGTGTTTTTTTTCCGGTGGTTGCTTTTGAAGTGGGTTGTAAGATTTAGTGTAGGGCCCTTCATGACTAGAATAGGGTTCATTTCAGGGGTGTCCTATGAAGGACTTTGGAGGTTTAGGGTGCAGGACCTTGGGCAATGACCCATTTTGTGTGCAGGAGATGCAGTATGCCTTCTGCAACATGTCATGTGAGTGCTAGCTTGAAAGTCTCCTGCCGCCAAGAAGATGTGTGTATCTAACTGCTAGCTATCTATCTGTCTGTCTAACTACCTGCGCATTCATTACTTCCTGTATTTGAGCATCTCCTTCACACTGACTCGAGCTCCCAAGAGAGTCGGAGGACTCCTCAGAACCTAGATGAGCCCATCCCTAAACCCTAAACCCTAAACCGCCCAAACACTAAATCCTAAACTGCTATGCGTCTTGAGCATGACATCAGCTGCCCCCCGGCCACGCACCTGGCCCCCTCGGCTGCTGACACTGCGCCCAGCGCCTCTGCCAGTGAGCGCCGGCAAGAGCTTTGCATAGGGTTTAGGGTCTAGGGTTTAGTCATTGCTCATGGCTCCATGCGACACCATCCCTGCCTTGTACCTTCGCCTTATCAATCCCGCTGCTTCCCCTTTACTGGTTGTGACGAGCTTGCCTTGACTTCGCCGCTCGTGTGCCCCAGCCTCAAGAGCAAGCGAATGGGAGAACGTGGAGCAAACACAAGTTGCATTTGCTGAACAGCCATCTGCATCGTGCAAGTACCCCTCCACCACCACCGAAGCTGACTTGGGTCCTACTTGGAGACGCTGAGGACGAGGCTGGCGAAAGAGCTGCAAGGCAGCAGCAGCTGTGCTTGCAGCTTCCTCCACTTGCCCGTGCTCCCTGCTGGCAGCGCTGGCTTCCAAGAAAGCCTCGGCCGCACACTGCTGGTCGCCAGCAGACTTGAAGGCCTCTGCCGCCTTCTTGGCTGCCTGGACCACTTGAGCCACCTGTTGAGGCCCCTCTTCGACCATGGCGGACCAGCTCAGCATCAGGGCTGCCAGCTCTCCGGGTCGATGGCCACACTTCTTGAAAAGCTTCTCTGCCTTCCCTGCCTCCGTCTGGGCTCCCGCGAGGTCCTTCTTGGCCTTCAGGACCCCGGCAAGGCCCAGAAGCGCCTCTGCCTCCGCCAGCTCCTTCTTGCCGCTCTGCGCCGCCTCCAAAGCGGCCTTCGCGGCTTTCGTGGCCTCCTCCGGCTCGCTCCGAAGGACCCAGAGCCGCGCGATGCGGATCAAGGCATCCACCTGGTCCTCAACGTCCCCGGAGTCTCGGCAGAGGCTCACGACCTGCAGGTCCCAAGGTTTTTATGCTTCGTTTGGGTCTCCATTCCCTGCGGCCTCCAGCAGCAACCGCAGCGCAGGCTCGGTGTCTCCGCGAGTCAAGTGGATCTCTGCGGTTGCCTTCACGAGTCACGGCTTGCGCGGCTGTTTCACCTACTGGGTTTGGGGCTTAGGAAGTTCATGGCATCGCCTTGAGTGCCGTAACTTCCCCGGACAAATCTTCGCAGGTTCGCAGCTGCCGCAATGCAGCAGACGCCACTCTCAGCGCCGAGTCCACCTCCAAGGGTTCTCCAAGGCTCGAAGCACTGAGGACACGGAAAGGAGAGCTGGATGCATCTGATGGTGCCCATTGCAGAAGTCCTGACCTGGCCTCATTCTTGTGAAGATAGGCAGAGCCGACCTCTTGAAGAAGAGCGAAAGCCTGCGCACAGAGCTGCACACGGAGCAAGGAAGAGCCCCCTGCATGGCCCCCCCCCCCCACGGCCCGTCACGCATCTGCCCTGAGGCGCCTCACCCCGGGTGTCACCGACGTCACGCAGAGCTGCTGCAGCCTGCAGATGACAGGCTCGCATGGTGCCGGTCTGCAAGGATGCCCAAAGCAGCTTCCTGAAAACCAGCACTGAATCCAGGTGCCAATCCGCACATGCGCTGCATCTCAAAGCGCTTCACAGTCTGCTTCGTTCTCCATTTTATCTCCAGTCTCGCTCTGGGATCAAGAGTACGGGGCGCTTCAATGCCCCCCTATCGATGGCTGTCGATTCAGCCTCTGCAAGCTTGCGAGAAAACACCAGTGGGACTTGGTAAGCACGTACCCTGCATAGTCAACGCTGTTTTTGGAAGCTGACACCTCAAACTGCGCTAGCAGAGACGGTCTTGGAGACAGTGGGCTCCCGTCTCACAGCGACAGCTCGTAGTTCCTGAGAAGATTCGAAGACTCCAGATTTTTTTCAACCCGGGGTATAAGCAAAAAGCGCATGACATTAGGATACGCACAGTTTGCCATCACGCAGTTCTTCAAACTGGTGTGCTGGCCAGTGCCGCAGAGTGAAAAAGTTGGTCTAATTCAACTAAAGCTCCATCAGTTCAGGGAACATCTGCTCCAACACCCAGACCTGTGGGCTAGATCTGAATGCGACATGGAATTTAAGATGTCTGGCTTCGAGGGCAAACGATTCAGATTTCCAGGACAAGTGGGGCTACACGGTTGACCCCCAGTGAGACTTGCCACTCTGAACGCCGTCAGATCATCACGGATGGGACATGACGCACCTCCTGCAGCAGCAGGTCGTTCGTGTAGTTTCGCAAAATGTCCTTCGAAAGGCAGATAGGTATAGCGACAGGGCTCATGCTTCAAGCGCTTCACAACGCCGAGCCCTGCTGCACCAGCCCATCACAACTCAAGTTTCGATGCTTGACTCACAATACCACTTCAAGTCATTAGAAACGCCATTCCCAATGCCCCACCACTCCCCATCCTGAAACCCATAAACCTTTAACCGGGTAAAGCGCTTGACCCCAAAAAACATACATAAGCAGTACAGCAAGCCCACCCCATAACCCGCACCTTCTCAATATTGAAGTCACGTGTTGTGGAAGCCGTAAAAAACGACCCTTATAGCAACCCTGACGGGAATCTTTATTGTAGCCCGGAGAGTCACCCTGAAAGTAGCCCTGCTGGTGGTCCTTGTGGAAGCCCCTATAACCCTTTTCGTAGCGCCTATAAACAACCCTTGCAGCAACCCCTTGGTGAACCGGGATGTCCTTCTTGTGGTGCCCAACGAGGCGGCGAGCCACGCGTTTGCGCCTGGGCGCTGGAGGTGTAGGGCGTTGAGGCTCCGTAAGGTTTTCGGGGTTTGGGCTTAAAGTCTTCTTGGTTTTTGGGTGCTTAAGCTCAAGGGCTTTGTGGGTTCCAGGTTCAAAGGCTAGGGATCTGGAACTTGGATTTAGACCGGTTAGGGACGGACCGGTACGCATTCCTCAGCCGGTCTTCACCGTCTGTCTGTCTGCCTGCCTGCCTGCCTGCAGACATGTATGTTTATGATAGCCTGGAAAAGGTAGACACTGACTGATGTTCTGATGTGGTACGCACATGTAGGGGGGATGGTCTTTGTATGAGCTCGCATAGCATGCAACTTGCGACACTGTACCTAACCTTCCTTGCTGTCTTCCCTCCTTGCTTTGTGTACACACGCATTTGTAAACAGATCTCCTCATGCGTGCATACGAATATGATTGCCTACGTACAGATGTGCATACCTAGATCAATACATATGTACATAATATGTATACATACATACATACATACATACATACATACATACATGCATGCATGCATACATACATACATAAAGTACATAGATACAAAATTACATACGTATGCATATGCATACGTGAACAGGATGCTGTTTCCGTCCACACCCGAAAACCCTGAAAGCCGAAAAGCTTGCCACACGGGGCTGAATCCTTGTGCCGGGGTCCCAGGCAGACAACGGTCGACTGACTGGGCGGCTCGGATAGGAGGAGGCCGCTGAAGTTGGCCGTGATGCATACGACGCAGAAGTTGGCCGCGACGCATAGGACGTCCTTGCACTGGATCTCCGTGACCTCAGCAGTGAGCCTAGGATGCCTGGAGGGTTTGCGGGCTCGGCAGGCAAGAAGAAGAGAGACATGAGCCGGGCCCGCGGCGTGGAACGGCTGGGGATATACCAGGCTTTCGCCGAGGTGTACAGGATGTCCTCAGCAGACCAGCCCTCGAAGCTGGAGGCACAGCAGGCTCCTAACCACGAACTCCAAGCCCCTCAGCCAAAATTCAAATGAATCCGACACCCTGAAACCAGCTCTTCCTTCAAGAGATTTTGGGCTGGTGCTGCGGAGTCTTTTGAGGAAGCCCCGCCCTGTTCAGAGAAGTTGCCGGCGTCGGCGCCGACAGCCTGTGGAGGACAGGTCTATCAACGTTTAGGCTACAAGTTCAAACAATTTAACAGCAGCGTCACCAAAAATTACGAACGAAAGATAGACGGTGATTACAACTCCCTAGATTGTACTAGACATTATAAAGATAAGCTTTATAAATGTAAGAATGAGAATCGCAGTTATGAAAGTCGTCATCCCCATCAAGGCAAAGTTTGCAGCTCCTGCTTTTGCCCCTTCAGCATTTAAGGGCGCATATATGATCCCGGTTCCGGGTTCGCCGACCCCCCCCCC